GGAACTTCCATGGAAGTATACTGCAGTCTTCTCCTGAAGGTTTCTAGGGATGACAGCCTTATTTCTTCCTTCCTGGTAGGACCCTTTCCCACGCAAGTCGGTGATAACTTTGGCAGGCACCATTGCAGTAAACAGGCTAGCAGCATATGGGATAGGGCTGCTTCAGGACACCGGCAGCAGCTGGGCTCTCTGTGCCTTTGTCACTCTCAGGAGTGAAATATCAGATAAATCACCACTGCTTGTGGAAAAAGGTGCCAGTATCCAGTGTCTTTGCCTGGTACTGTTTCATGCACCCAAGCAATTCTCTCCTCATTGCCCTCACTCTGGTGGGTCATACTCATCATGGCTGGTGTTGTGAGTGGCACAATGCACAAGCACTCTGAAGCAGAAGTATCAACAAGCATGTCTTGTTTGATGAAACTTTAGGGGAGCAAGGGAGGGGCATTCCGAAGCTTAAGTTTTACTTTCCGCTGTGACGATACCGACAATGGTGCCTGAGTGTGTTTTATCTGTAGCTGCGTGCTGTTGTGTCCTTCAGGGGTTCCCCTTCTACACCCATGGAACACGAGTCAGATAAGGTGGAAAAAGAAGAGGACTTGGAATGACATTTTAGTGAGATCATGCAACCCATTGCCGCATTGGCGCATGGAAGTGGCCCACATAACACATCGTGGGCCACATATGCAGCCCACAGCAGTAAACAGGTTGAGAACCACTGCATTAGAGGATAGTCAGTGCTCCCAACAGTATTCACATGAACCATTCATGGCAAATAGGCTCAGCAGAGCAGAGACTCTACCTCTGGGGTTAAACATGGACAGGAGTGACTGTTCCCCCCCTTGATAGAGGGTATGGTGGGGAGAGATATGCGGTCCTTTTTGATCTAAATACAGAAGCTTGCTTGGAAAATTCAGATGTTATAATCAAGCTATCTTCTTTGTTAGACCACTTTAGTATTCCATGACTAGTTAAAGCAGAGATGGTCTGAACAAACTCATATTGAGATTATGTTGAGACTAAGGTCCAGGTCAGGACTCTTATGAGCTAATCTCATGAGATTTGGGCCCCAAACAGTGGAAATCTCATGTGAGGCCAGCTCTTTCTGTGAGATACCCACCATCCAGACCTTCTTGCCACATCTGAACTGAAACTAGACAACAGAGCAGATCTACCTCACGGCCAAAAGCCCAGGTTCAGACACTCATCTGGGGATTCTAACATCTCCCCAAAATCCAAAGAGATTCAAATGTGAGATTCTGATTTTGGCCCATCTCTAATCTAAGAAACACTGGTGTCAGTCAGGAGTAACTCTACTGAGAGGAGTGGAGTTACACCAAAGTAAACAGATCAGAATCAGACCCAAGGGAGTTGTGCAGTCCATGTAATTAAGAGATTGGCAGTATTTCCATATATATTGCTTAACTGGACTTTTGCGTGCCATTACTGAGATACAAATAAAGGTTTCTGAATGAAAACATCTACGTATCTCTTTCTTGTTGCACTTGCCTACTGCTCATTAAAAAGACATGATACCAGCTTCAACTAAAGAATAGACATCTAATACTGAATTCTACCTGTATTAATCCAGGAAAATCCTGCTGACAGTGAATTTGTTTGATGAAGAAACACAGATATAGGCTCCTATGCTACAAAGTCCCATTATTTTAAGTACCTCCACCATGGGACAGAGTTGTACTGCTTTAACTCTACTGATATAGTTCCCCTAACGTTGATGCAGTTATAATGGCATAAAAGTGCTTATATAGGTATAGCTTATTACTGAAGGAGAAGGGGGATAAGTTATATTGGTAGAAGGCACCTTTATACCTGGATAACTGCATCCACACTAGGGGTTGTACCAGTGTAACCATACCAGTAAAAAAATTACTTCCCTATCCAAAATAGTTATACTGGTTCAATATGCGTGTGTAGACCAGGTCTAAGATCCTGCATTCTTCATTAAGACAAAACCCTCACTGGCTTCAAAGCTGCACAAAGGTTGGATTACTGCATAAGGATACCTTAGTGGGCATTTTGCCCAAGTTAGGCCTTCAGCATTGGGTCTTAAGTCTCTTATTTTATCTACATCACATGCAGATGTAATTGCATGTAAATGTGACTGCACGATACATTTATCCCTTTTGCAAAAACATTAATTTTCTTGATATACACTTGTGTTTTTTTTCCTATTAATTTATTACTGACCGTCAAAAGTAGTTGGGATCAGGGTTAGATAATAAAAATAATGTAGAGAATATTTCAGAACTTGCAATAGTAAATCATAATTGAGGCAAATCAAAACCAAAAAATGTAATGATGTTCTACTACAGAATGTGACAAAAAGAAAACTTTATTTGGCAAAGCAAAGCAAAACCAATAAAACTGAATGACATGAGTAAGTGATGCAAATGAACAATTTCTGCATTTCTTACATGCAAAAAAAAGGGCCCTAATTCTGTTGTCCTTCCTCAGGCAAAATTCCCACTGAAGTCAATGGAATTTATTGCCTGATTCAAGTCTGCATGTCTAGGCCCCATATTTATTTTTTTTCACATTTTTAAAAATATATATTTTATTTGTTCATTGTGAATAGATTAAAAATACAGTATGCAGCAAGATCATTCCAAAAAGTTGTCAAAACATACTTTTCTCTTTAAAGGAATTGCATAAAATAAATTGTGCATATTTATGTAAACATAAATTTAATAAAAAATTGACTGTCATGTCTGTTGTACACCAAAATATCTGTAAGATACCATGTTTGTGCCAAGAAGTAAACTAAATCAGTAACAAAAGATTTTGTAGACAAAGTATTAACAATGACAATATTTTGCCTGTTGAGTTGTATAACTCCATATGCCTCAAATCTATGAAGAAGTTTCTGTATTTATACCAATAACACAATTCAGTGAATTAATCTGCATGCCAAAAGGTGTTAATAATTACCCTCTTTGAGCCCTGTGTTTATATTTTGAATTTAAACACTCAAATCTCCTCCCCTTTCTATAGCGGGCAAGTGTGTGTTAGCTACATCAACTTCTTCGTAAAGGAAAACTACGATTAGCTTTTATACCTTTACAATAAAAACATATTATTTATCTATCTATATTATTTATTTATATAGTGCCTACAGTATGCGAGCAGCGTTTAGACTATATGCACATTGTTCCAATTTTTTCCCGTAGATATACATAAATGCCTGTCACTAGTCTACCGGTTTGCATGATTGAACGATGCAGTTGTCTCTCAGAGCTTACATTTTCTTGCAACTGTGCTTCCCAGCGGGAGGGAATGAAGTCACTAAGGAAGTATTGCTTATGAGCATGAATGGATATCACCACATTCTGTGCACCCGTTCCATTTTCAATGGAGTACAGCAGAACTGCACCTGTTCCTTTTCAAATGGAGCTGTGTGCATGCTACAGAGGAAGGGGTAGGAGTTGCCCCTTAATCTCTGCAATTAGATGTAAAAACGCCAAAATCTTATACCTAAACTGCAGTTTCCCATTAAGAACATCCCAGCTATCTGACTTTAAATAACAATTGGTGATTCAGAGTGTATACTTCCAAGATGACCCCAGAGACGACCCACTCTACACACAGAAGAGAAAGGTGTAACACTTTACTGACCCATTCCATCAAATCATTTAAACATGTGCTTTACTGCAAGCATCACAGACGTCCCATTGAAATCAATGGGCTTCAATCAATCGTGCTTAAACATGTGCTTAAATGCTTTGCTGGAGCAATAGTAAATATTCAACACTCTCTTCCCTTAATAATGACACTGTCATCCTAACCCTTGTGTGTGTCAACCTACACTCTCAGAAGATGGTAAAAGGACCCACCTTGCAGCTGCATGTCCCATGATGACAGTAATCTATCAATCTTAAACACCTAAAAATCAGAACTAAATAAATAAGACCAATAAATAGATCCAGTTGCTATACAGATGGCACTGGACTCTTGAAATAAAACTATGAACTTAGTCTAAGATTCTCTCTTAAATGGTATCTAATGAGGTGATTTTTTTTTTTTGCAACCAGCACAAATATGTTTTTTCTTTAACAAATAGGTATATAAAGCCTTTTTAATAAGTTATTGACTTATGAAAAACAGAGATCCTTTAGTATATCTTAGCGTGAACATCAGAGGGGCCAAAACTCAGGTGTGCAACTACAGACTGTGAATCACTAGTACAACAGAAGATGAACTTTGTACCTTTACGGCTATTATTTAGTGAATCAGTACACTCAAATTTTATTGAGCTGCTGAATAGATTATTCAGCAAACAGCTTAAATCTATTGTACAGTAATTACAGTCTGAGTGCTTTTTACATAACCTAAGCACAAAATTATTTAGAATAGAGGGGTAGTAAATGTACATGGCATGTCAGTTTCTCTAACCTCTTTAAATGTCCCTATGTAGAAATGGTTGGGAAAGGTATTTCTTAATGTTAAGTGCACTGCGAATGGCGATTTCACTGTAAGAACTAAATGATATAAAGAAATCAGCAGACAACAGACTTTTTTATAGTATCTTATAGGAAGCACATCATAAGTCCAGTAGGACGATATGCAACTTAGACTATTGTATTAGGACAATAAGATACAATAGAAAATGTTGCAAAAAAATCTCCATTTACTATTGTGCCTGGTCTACACAACGAAATCAGCTCGACCCAGCTACATCAGTCAGGAGTGTGAAAAAGAAAAATCCAAACCCCTCACTTATGTAGTTAAGATTATCTATGCCAATGGGAGGAGTTAGGTTGTGTCTACAACGAACCACTACAGCAGCAGCTGTGCCACTGTAGCATTTCAAGTGTAGACTAGCCCTCGGTGAAATCTTGGCCCCATAAAAGTCAATGGCATTTTGCCACAGACTTCAATAGACCCAAGATTTTACCTACAACTTTTAAAGTACAGGTTTGCTGCATAAAAATGGCACTCCTATATTCAATGGACCTGCTCTTTTTGTGTGAATTCAGAGTTATAGCTACTTTTCTGACTGAAATAAGTTTTTACTTCTTTTCAGAGGCCATACACATGTGGGAGAGGGTGCTGGAATGCCTCATGAAGAGAATTGTTAGCTAAGTTCTGACTGCGGAATTTGTATTGTTGGCAATGAGCGACCTAAAGAGAAACCATCTTGACTTTCAAGTCCCAGCTTGATTTTCAGGGCGAGCACTTAGAAAAAGCATTTTTTTCATTTGCAAACTGAGAAGACGGCATCTGGAATCACTTAAGGAAGAAAATAAACATGGTGCCCCCAATATCACCATTTTTGCAGAGAACTGCATTGTAAAGAGTATTATTAGCATAATTCCATTCCTGATTGCTCCGGTTCTTGGGTTTATTTCACAAGGGGAATTAAAAAAGGGAATTTCTGCATGTATGTTTACATGGAAAATGAAGAAGTGCCTGAAATAAACCAAATACTGGCGTAGAAGTGCTTTGAACTTAGAAATGTGATTTTTTTGTGAGGAGGGGAAGAGGAGGAGGAGTAGAAAGAAATAAACACACTGATACTCTGCTATGTAAAACAAAAGTGTGCAACGCAAGCTGTCATCAGCTTCATTTTTCAGAAATTAATCAGGCTCCTCACATCTAACAGTTAAAAGTTATAAAAGATCAAGTTCATAGATACTGCAGCTTTGAAGTATAGGTAAAAGTACATTTATGGTATCCCCAAAATACAACCTACATTTGTATATTTTTTCCCCTCAGAATAAAGTTAGAAAATTAAAATATGAAAAACACAAATCAGTAACGACACATAAAAATACATCTTTTTTTTTTTTTTTTGCAAAGTAACAGTCTATAAAAATTA